CGTGGCTCTACGACACATAAGACCTCATGGGTTGGTGCTGTGCACCTCAGAAGCCCGGTGGTGACGCCGTATGCCGGCTTGGTTTCTTAAGGATTAGCGTGGGACCTCCGGGGCCTGCATAGAGTTTGCATGAGCTAGTATGTAATCTCAGAGGCCTGTATGTAACGTGTACACAGTGGCGGTCGCTGGGGGGGGGGGTGGGCATCAGGTTCAGGGCCATGCCCCCCCCCAAGGCACATAAAGGGGGCCGTCATATCATTTGCCCCCCCCCCCCTCAAGCAACCGATGGGCCCCATAGGTGTATGGGGCCCTGGCCCTGATTCGATCGTCACGAGGCTAAAAAAAAACACGCCCAGCTATTAATATAGCTCCCACACCGGTCTTTGAGCGTCCTACACTGACCTCTGATGGAACTTCAGTGGCGGTCAAGCGCCCACGTTGACTGCTAAGAGCCCACATCGACCTCTGAGGCCCCACATCTGGCATATGAGGGCCCCTAACCGGCCTCAGGGGCCCCAACCGGCGTCTGAGGGTCTCACACCGGTCTCTAATGACCTTGTTGCTGTCTCTGGTGTCCCAAGACGAACATTTAGGTGCCAATGAGGGCCCCGCACTGGCTGCTGAAGACCCGATGCCGGCCTCTAAGGGCCTGCATTGGCCTCTGAGGAGGGCCCATCTTGGCCTTTGAGTGCCCTCTGCTGGCCTCTGGGGTCCAACGACGGCTCATGCCGGTCTCTTAGGGCCCCACGCTGACCTCTGAGGGCCCCATGTTGGCCTGTAATGAGTAAGGACCCGCATTAGCCTCTGAGAGCCCAACTCGGTCTCTGATGGTCTCAAACTACTGCAGCCTTTGCAGTCTGCAGGCCCTGTACTGGTCTCTGAGGGCCCTAAACTGGCCTCTAAGTGAAAACATACATGGGTGGGCTTCTGAAGATCACAGGGCTCACACAGACTCCTGCACAGCCTTACGTTGGTCCTGATCGAGATTGCTTTACGTCCTGATGGTCCCGCGCAGATTCCCTCATATTTCGACGTCGGGACCCCATGAGCCGGTGTGTGGGTCCTGGGGTTGGCAGAGACTGATAAAGTCCTTAGGGCTCAGGGCCAGTCTTTTTAGCAGTAGGACTATAAGACAGGTTGAGTGAGCCGAGCCCCAATAGAGCCGTTGCGAAGCCCCGTACGAGTCGCGCGCGGCCCTCAGATGCCAATTTTGAAAACCAGGAACCTTTGGGGCCGGTGGTCTCCAGAGGTCGGTGTAACCTTCTCCCGCCGCTACACATCTATATGGGTAAATGTCATGGTTTGAAAATGCTCTCTGGGTTTCACATGCTTGTTCAAGGCAAGAGGTATCTGTACTTTTCCGAATTGTTTTATAGTGGTAAGGTCATGAATCCGCGTGCCCGACCTTCCAGTATATGCTACACCGATCCGTCGCCATGGTGCAGTGGCCCGACCGGTGGAAATACCGTGGGACGGGAAATGCAACTGGTGATTTTGCCTTAAATTGAGCTTAAAGATTTCACGCAAGAATGAGGTGGATGAAGCATAAGTAGGGGAGAGTGGGGTGGGTTGTATCAGTTTTTACTCCGAGACCCATAACCTCGTAACTATCCGTGATAAACTCATTATTTCCATACTATCTCCTTCCTTGATTCTTCTGCTTCTTTGTGCAAAGTAACTTTTCCGCTACCTCTACCAGTTTTTCTTCTACGGTCTGCCGAATAGAACAATGTTTTTGATACAACTTGCCCCATGGCTTGGGTGAGTTGTATCACATGGTGGGGTAATTTGTATCACTAGGTATTTCACGTTTCAGGGAGTGTGCTTGCTACTGGTTTTGAGCATAACAACAACATTAAATGGGGTTGATACAATGTATATGCTCAAAGGCTTCACTTTTATTAGACCAAACTTAGGTCAATGCATTCCGAACGAAACATCGAAACGAACGAAACATCAACAAACTATAGACGCAAAAGTGGCCCGTTAAGAGCAAAGAAGCCAACACATTGTGCCAAAATGGAACGAGTATTGACTAGCTACCTACAAACGCGAGCCAGGGCTTAGCTTTCGCGATCAAAAGCAACATACCCATACATACATACATGTTACAACATACCCCACCCGGCTCTGATACAACATGTACCTCGCCGCCATCTTGGAAAAAACATCCTCGTGCTAAAAAACAGCGGACAGCTGGAGAAATCCATTTTCACTCACGCAGCCTTAGAACCTACCCTCACCACCGCTACGGAGATCTTTCAAATTCGTGCACATCTAAATGTCCAAAACACACATTTTCTTGCAACTTATTTTTTTAGAATGACATTAAAAAACATAAAATCGGCTCTCACCTCGAGACGCGTCCACCCAGCCACACAACAGAACAGGGAAAGATGGCGCCCGGAAAACCTCGTCGGCTGGTCGTGTCACGAGCGCCATCAATTGGATAAGTTTGGCACAATTCGCCCTGATACAACTTGGACATGATACAACTCTCCCCGCTCTCCCCTAATGCCAAGGGCGTAAAAAATTAGCCGATCACCCCCCCCCCTCCGTTGACGGATAAATGTATGTCCCGCGAGTGTGACTTTGGCCCCCCCCCTTTTGCCAGCGGCTGCGACCGCCAGTGAACGACTGATATGCAACATGACCCTTTCCGGTCAGGTCATGACCTTGACCTGAGGTCAAATTTTCAAGTTGACCTTTCAAGGTCAAGTTATAGTTCATTCGATGAGTCTTGACGAGAGGAACACGATGCCGGTAAAAGTAAGCTCGTACAAGGTTTGGGTCAAAAGTTATTGCAGAAAAAAGTGTTTTCGAAAAAATCGACTATTTTTGCAGTTTTTGCCCCCTGCAGGCAAAACCGTTGACGTTAGGTCAAATCTGAGAAAATTACTCAGAAAGGGCGTTAATAGGGCTATCGAATGCGCTTTTCCGCGGAGCTGTAGCTCTATTGGTTCCCGAGTTATGCGTTGGCTTCTTGGAAATTTTCGACATTCGACCTGGAAATCGGCGAAATTTTGCCTTAAATGACCTCTGGTGACCTGACCTTTGACCTGACCAAAAAATTGACCGAAGTGATTTCGTCATTATTTTTGACGCTCTTTCGAACGCCGCCTTCCGCGTATCGCTACGTGGCCCAGGAGCCGACTTACAAGGGGGGGGGTGTTCAAACACCCCCCCCCCCAGCAGGGCGTGGAAATCCAGGACCCCCAGCAGGGCGCGGGTTAAGATATGATCATTTTGTGAATGTTGGGCAAAGCCTGACCACTACTGGGGCATTCCTGGACTCTACTGGGGCATTTGCCCCAGTAGAGTCAAGGAATTAGGTGCAGTAGGGGCATTTGCCCCAGTATGTTAGCCGAGGCCCTGTTATCCCGCGCCCTGCTGGGGGGGGGTGTTTGAACACCCCCCCTTGTGGTTTTACGCGAATATCTCAAAAACGGCGGCGCGGAGCGCCGCCGTTTTTGGTACACCTTATCATACATCAATTCTACACATGTTGTGAAAATTTCAGACCAAGGTCATTCAAGGTCAGGTCACCAGGTCACTTGAAGTGACCTCACCTCATAAAAACTTTCAATGTCTGTCATAGCTACACCGAGTGACCGATCGCTTTGAAACTTTCAGCGATTGCTAAGGGCAATAGCATGTACAAAATGTATATCTCAGAATTTTGATATCGATGACCTAAGGTCAGGTCAATTTTGCGACCTCCCCATTATAAGTCAATGGGAGAAAATTGAAATGAGCCTCTTTTGGATGAAAGACATTATAAACACTCCCAAACACCGAATTACAAGTGTTTTAGACACACTGAACTTGAAAATGGTGTCCGTGACCCTTGTTTATGCCCTGAGGTCATCTCAGGTCACGAATGGTATCTAACAGTTTTTCGCAAATAACTTTTGATAGAGGCATTCTAGAGCGATGAAAACGCCTTAGATGTGTTCAGCTCGACGATACGGATCGACTGATATGCAACATGACCCTTTCCGGTCAGGTCATGACCTTGACCTGAGGTCAAATTTTCAAGTTGACCTTTCAAGGTCAAGTTATAGTTCATTCGATGCGTCTTGACGAGAGGAACACGATGGCGGTAAAAGTAAGCTCGTACAAGGCTTGGGTCAAAAGTTATTGCAGAAAAACTGTTTTCGAAAAAATCGGCTATTTTTGCAGTTTTTGCCCCCTGCAGGCAAAACCGTTGACGTTAGCTCAAATCTGAGAGAATTACTCAGAAAGGGCGTTAATAGGGCTATCGAATGCGCTTTTCCGCGGCGCTGTAGCTCTATTGGTTCCCGAGTTATGCGTTGGCTTCTTGGAAATTTTCGACATTCGACCTGGAAATCGGCGAAATTTTGCCTTCAATGACCTCTGGTGACCTGACCTTTGCCCTGACCAAAAAATTGACCGAAGTGATTTCGTCATTATTTTTGACGCTCTTTCGAACGCCGCCTTCCGCGTATCGCTACGTGGCCCAGGAGCCGAGTTAGAAGGGGGGTGTTCAAACACCCCCCCCCCCCAGCAGGGCGTGGAAATCCAGGACCCCCAGCAGGGCGCGGGTTATGTTACACGCCGTGTGATTTATTTATTAGTTCAGTTATAATTCCTGAGAAGTCGTCTATCCCGGGGGGAGGGGGGGGGGGGTGTAAATAAGGGCAAATACGAGCTACGAGTCGCCAGGTAGAAATAATTTTGATACAGTTGATCGTCTGTTAAATCAATGTGCATCAACCAGATGTCTCAGTCTCGAGACCAACCGACTTGGTCTCGAGAAACAGGTCACAAATTAAGGCCAGCTGGATCAGCAGCATGAAATGTTAGGGCATAAGTGTAATTTCAACTTCAGGCTACTGAAAGTTTCGTCGTGATTTCCCTTTTTTTACGCGAATTAGTTATTTGTCAAAAACTGATTGGGTTCACCTGACCGCTCCCTCTCAATCTAGGTGCGAGTTTTATGTATGAGCCTTCAACGTTATTCTCGTTTGCTTTTGCAGTCAATCTACAGAAACCAGCATCAACGACACAGCACAGAGAGGGCTCCAGTGGCCGGCGGCCAGTGACGTCTCGATGCCGACATCGAGCCAATCACCTGCGGCCAGTGTAGTCACGGTCCAGAAGGAGGAACTCTCGACTGTGAAGCAGTTCACATTTCCACCTGGTCTAGTAGAGCAACAGGTGATCGCGATTTTGGAGTCCCTCCAAGTCCAAACCTTGAAGGAGCTCACGGTCTCCACTCCTCCTGACTCGACGGGACGGTGGCTGCGGCTGCTGCCGCCGTCCTTGAGGCGCCTGGACGTTTACGGTGAGATGTCATCGATGAAACTTGTACCTAATCACACTGCTGTGTGGTGAGGACAGCGCTTAGTAGGTATTGCGATTGCAGCCATGCATGTGGGCTGTAATGTTTAGCCGGTCCGATACCATATGCAATAATATTAATTAATCTACATACAAAAACAGTGTTTTAGCGGGCAGTGGCATCATCACAGAAAAATGTGTAATGCGTATTCACTGTAACTCTTGTCAAAATTATGATAGACGTTGTTTTGAAGACCACATGCTCTACAAATGATCATACGAAACAGACGCCTAATGTTGATCATTACCTGACATCCAATACAGAGAGTTTTGACAGCATCGTCGATAGTGTTCAATCTCTATTGTTCATAGTTCATGGTCCATGCTGAGCTATGTAGGTATAACAATATGTGTGCTTGTATACAACAGACATTGCCAAACTCATTCCTATCAGTGACGAGTCGGCTGTGTCTGTGTCAGTATCGGCTGTATCATTGTTACATACCATAGTGTCAGCGGCCTCCCGACCCGTCGGCAGCTCCGTCCGACTGCAGTCAGCTGATACAGCCTTCCCTCCGACAGGACCGGGGAAGACGGGGAAGCCGGCGAAACTGGGAAATGGAAGACAGCCTGACCATGGGCTGGTGGTCGTCATAATGCAGGCGGGAGATGACGTCGTCAACCAGCTGGCCAAGGAGCTGGGACCACGGGTTACCGCGCTGACCATGTTCAGTGAGTGGCGGTGGCACGGACAGGTTATCGTTATGTGTGGTTAGGTATACTGACGAACACCATAATCATATACCTAACTGAGCACGGTAACACCGTTCAGGGAGATGTGAAACAGGGACTGTGATCAGAGTAAAAGTCATGTCAGATACTTTTTGCTGGTATATTTTGGTATATTATATGTATGTAAATGACGGATATGCCGGGTGCGTCGATAGGTATTCATTTCCGTGGGGTGTGTGGAAGTGTTGTCGCCAACATGGTGTTGGCGACCTGTGGTGAGTGCTCCATATAAATGCATAACCAATCACCAATCACCAGTTATGTGGATGTGTTGTTTCATTGTCTGCTTGGCAGTTCTTCATTAGTAGGCATCATTACTTGTACACAGAATGCATATACATATAGGTATACATGCATGCGTGTATAGCTACTTCTTTGCAGATATGTACATAAACTGTACATACGAGGGGGTATCGAAAAGTCCTGATCATCACCATGAATTAGATGTGATAGAAATTTGATTTTTTTACATGATGTTCATTACTCCTTTACAAGTCACCACACACGACCGCAAACTTATTGCATCGTTTCTTGAGCTGCCTCAGGCGGATATTGTAGGACCTTCGCCTTGTCCCGTAAATCACTGCTCCACCTCATCAATGACGTCATTTCTGGCCTTTAATCAGCGGCCATACTATGGATTCTTCATCTCCTGTAACAATCAAGAGTCAGTTAATACCCGGTCAGGTGAATTTCTTAGATGCGGTAGGATTTAATGTCCACATCATGCTGATTCTTAAATCGCAGCTCAGGACGAATGGGCGGGGGCGCTGTCGGTGCGGATAAAACATCTTTCTTGGGCTTTTTTGCGGCGATTCTGCTTGAGGCCATCTCGCAACTTCTTCAAAAGTGTGCAGTAGTGCTTGCTTATCATTATCCGACCATCATCAAGACAGTCGGTAATGACTATCCTACGCCAGATCCAGAACACCGATAGCATTGACCTTCCATATCGGCTTCTGCATCTTCGCCTTTTATGAAGGACAGATGTGCCGTGCTTAAACTTCTTGATCATCTTTTTGTCTCTGGATCATACACATAGACCCAGCATTCGTCACAAGTCATTAAACGATCGAAGATGTCTTCAATTTTCTAAAAAAAGCCTAGTTTTCATTTCGAAAGGCCAAGACGTATTTTTCTCTTGAGCAAAGTAGACACACGAACTTCTAAGCGGGCTGACTCCTTTATCGTCTGTCGTTCTTCGCCGATAATATTTTCAGGCACTGCCAGCATTGAGACTTTTCTGTTGCACAATCATCTGAAAGGTCACACGACGATCCGTAAGGATGAGGTCCTCCACTTCCTTCACAGTCACCACCTTGTCAGTCACTGGTAGTCACTCGCTTCTTGACTCCCCTGCAAGGGTCATGCAACCAAGTTGAAAATTATTTCTTCATTTTCGGTAAGTGCATTAGATGGGCTTCCCTAGCTATAAACTAATTTCACGTTCTTGATGTCTTTTCTCAGTGTGATACCGTTTCAAATGCATTAGTTGGATGACGGTTCGGTCCTCAATGGGCCCAATGCTCATCTTTTTTACTTCTAAGTCTCTCCTACATAAGATAAAACCACTTCTCAGGATTCTCTTTGCGGGAACATTGTTCTTAAGAACCAAATATAATACCAACCAAAAATCATCAAAATCGGTCTATATCTTCTATGTGATGATCAGAACTTTTCGATACCCCCTCGTACATACATACATGCATACGTACTTACATATACACAAATATACATACAAATAATATTAAATGTGTTCATTATCACTATATACTGCTCGTGCTATTAACAGTCAGCTCGAATGCAGCATGTAGTGTCATACCTGGCTTGTCTCAGCACGTGCTAGCGAGTAGCGTAGCAGTTCCCACACCATTCACCTACCATGTCTGTATGTGACTGTGTTTCCCAGACTGCCCGCGTGTCACTGCCGGGGCCCTGCAGAGGCTGCTGTCCGCCCTCACCGGCCTGAAAGACGTCACACTTAGCGGCACTCTGTCCGGCGCCATCACTGACGCCTCACTGGCCGCCCTCCACGGGTGCTCCCAGCTGCGTAAAATGCAGCTGGGAGAGCCCATGGAACTCTGTACGGATATACCGGTCACAGCGGTCAGCAGGTCAGTCAGCTGTACATCCAGACCGGACCCAGACCAGACCAGATACAGACCAGACTAGACCTAGACCAGACCCAGACCAGACCCAGACCAGACCCAGACCAGACCCAGACCAGACCAGACCAGACCTAGACAAGACCCAGACCAGACCCAGACCAGTTCTAGATAGACGGGACCAATGAATGTCACCACGTATTGTCTGCATGTGTACACTGTTACCATGCATTGTGCTTAGAGCCTTGGTATGTATTGTCAGTGTCATGCTAACGAGCATATAGGCCAATAGTAGTTGGCACTATAGCTGGCGCATCAGGGCCGGACCCTGACCGGGACCACTGACCGGACCTGACTTGAACTGGCCCTGTGGAGACCGGACCCGTCCCCTTCCAAACGGCCAGCCGGTCGGCTGGTGTCGCTGACTGGTATGTGTCCTGTTCTGTCGCAGACTGGTGGTTACCTGCCGGAAACTGGAACTGCTGATTTTCCGAGCAACGGAGGGGCTCAGTCAGTCGGTCATGGACGCCCTGGTCCGGGCAGACCTAGGGAAAAGAGATGACGGCACGCCGAGAACACTGAGGTTCAAGGTCTCAGGTAAGCGACGGCGCCGCCCAGCGCCTCTGATCAGTCCCACAACAGACGGCTCGGCGCCACCGGCCTCTCGGAGCCGCTATCGGACACTCTCTCAACGGGTCGAGATGAACACATAACGCTGATGTGACGTCAACTCACAACTGATATAAACTGATAGTGATGTCATTCATATATAGATATGAGTCTAATATACTCAACTCATGTGTGGCGTGAATGGTTGTTCGAGTATGAACAATACCAAACACTAGCTGATACCTGTGGTAGGTTAGCCAGTATATAGTAAGATGACGTAAGATATATAGTAAGATGACGTCACTCGTATTTAGGTAGCTAATTGGTATGGCTTGAGCTCTGACACGGTGTGTGGTATGAATTGATGTTATGGACATGTTCACTGTGCTGTGGACTTCACTGTTTATTTGTGCAACTCTGTGTACAAGGTATTAGCGTGCAAGTGTGTGATTGCAACTGCCCGATATTCATTTGAATTCATGTTACCGGGACGTTACTAGATACTGAGCTCACATACTGTCGTTGTTACATGTCTTTGGTGCTGAATTAGGCTTGCGTAGATAGATACTATCATTGGCGGATCCAGAAAGGCAACCTTGGACGCTGCGGGTGGGGCATACCCCCCAAAAAATCTCCAAATTCCAAAAACTCATCGAATTTCGGTTCCGAAGGCACTGCTACGCAGTTTAACCCGCGCCCCAGTGGCGGTCTCAGCCAACTTCGCCCTAGTGAGGGGGGGCATATGTTACCACCCACCTCTAACTCAAAAACTAAGAGGGCTAGAAAGACGCGGTAAAAAGCAGTCGATAGCTCTCAATGCGTACGTTTGAAAGTATTTCATTCATTTTTCACCTTAGAGCAATATTGGGGTCACCAGAGGTCTTCAAAGGTCAAAATTTGCCAATTGTCATTATATTTTTCAGAAAACATGCCGCTATCTCAGGAACTATGGTAGCTAGAATAACGCAGGGAAGAGCAATCGATAGCTTTTGAACTCTTCTTTTGAAAAGGTGATAATCAATATTGACCTCAGGTGAACGGTTTGGCCTCCAGAGGGCAAAAAGTCCAAAAATAGCTGTTTTTACGAAAAGTGTTTTTCGACAATAACTTTCGACTACAAAAAGCCACGACATTTCTATTGCCAGAATCGTGTTCCTCTCGCCGAGACGCGTCGAATGAACTATAATTTGACCTTGAAAGGTCAAGTTGAAAATTTGACCTCAGGTCAAGGTCATGACCTTACCGGAAAAGGTCATGCTGCATATCAGTCGATGCGTCTCAACAAGGCAAACACAATGAGACCATCCCCAGCGTTCTATCTCTTTCCAATCGCGAGTTATTGGCAAAAAACTGTTTGTAGCCTCAAGTGACCTCGGATGACCTGTCTAGAGGCTATAAGCAAAAATGACACCTTGGTCATCACGAGTGGACTAAATCATTGTGATTCTGAAATATTTGGACTGTTCCGATGCGTACACACGGATCTAGAGGCATTTTCATTTTTCTCCATTGACTTGTAATGGAAAGGTTTCGCCACTGACCTGACCTTAGGTCACGGATATAAACCAGTATAACGCCTTTTGGGGCGACTAACGGAGCGAGCGAGAGGGTGGGCCTTGCACGTGCGAAATTGCGAGGGGGTACCTCCAACTGACTTGTGCACGGCACCCTACTAACTGGTCTCTAGCGATGTGCCAAATTTGGGCACAATCGGCCCAGCCGTTCTCGAGATCTGGAAGCGGCACCCTGCACGTGCGCACGTGCAAAATGGGTCCCAACTGACTTGTGCACGGCACCCTACTAACTGGTCCCTAACCGTGTACCAAATTTGAGCGCCATCGGTCCAGCCGTTCTCGAGATCTGGAAACGACCCCTGCACGTGCGCACGTGCAGCAGCACCCCAACTCTGGCACATGGATATGCAGTGCCTAGTGGGTGCCTACCTACATGCCAACTTTCAGCGCAATCGGCCAAGTAGTTACCGAGATATTGCAACAATTACAAAAGTGACACCTCTTCGTTTTGCACGTGGCACGTGCATAAGGGGTCACCCACATGCATCGGGAATAGTCCAATACTTGGTAGAAGGAATGAAGCTACCCTACAAAAATTTACCGCATGTAAATCGGTCAAGTGGTTGCTGAGATATAAGCCTCGCAAAAGCGTGACCACGGCCGGCCGGCCGGCCGGCCGGCCGGCCGCTCATACTCAGAAATTTCCGTTAATCTAAGGAAAGACTACGCTCGCTTCGCTCGCTCCGTAAAATCCGAGATATACAAATTGTAGGCGCCCATAACAGCATGCAATCCACCAAGTTTGAAACCTTTCTGACAAACACTGCAGGCTGGACATGATTGCAAACTTTTTTAGGCTTGGTCAGTTAACTTGACCTGGTGACCTGACCTGACATGACCTGAGGTCAAAAATTTCACACATTGTCCAAAATTGATGTACCAAAAGCTACCCCAAGCGGCGCGGCGCTACGCGCCGCGGTTTTTTATTCACACGCAAAAAACGTGACAGGGTGGTTACATATCCCCCCCCCACTGGGGCGAAGGTTAACCCGCGAGTTGCTGGGGGGGGGGGCGTTAAACGCCCCACTTTTATCGCCGCGCTATAGCGTAAAAACGGCGCGCCGCAGGCGCGTCAAAATTTAGGTACCTGTAGGGAATTGTTTGAAGTTTGTTGTGACAAATTAAAAAAAAAAATCGGTAGGATTTTTTTGAGATATCGAGGTTTTAGTGACGTCATGATTTCTGAGTTTTCGGCCAAAAATGGCATGTGTTCAAAAAATCATATAAAATCACATAATAGACATACAGACATGCCGTAAACGCTATTAGACTGCCAATACTATGAACAATCAAATGACTATCTTCGATTTTTCATTATAGTTCCGTATTTTCAAAAATCTTGAACTGAATCTTGGCAATTTCTCGTGACTACTTAGCGACCATGATACATGCATTTCTTAAATTGAACTTTTTGAACCAAACACGTACACATATGATAAAATGAATGTCACCATCGTGTTCTACGCCCAAAATTACCCATAAAACATGTGTCACGGGCTGCGAATATCAGTTTTGGTTTTCGGGGATATGTGCCTTCCCGGTTGACCTGACCTTGACCCTGACCTATGCTTGACTGACCCCTACATGGAGCTGACACTCTTGTAGGCCTTATATGAAAGATTGTGCACCGTTTTGAGAGAGTTTATGACGAGAGGCGCCCATTGCGAAGTCCTGAAGTCCATGCTACTGAAAGCCCGATTTCAGGTGTTTGAACTGACCTTGACCCGAACTGTGACCTCTAAATTCAAATTTAAAGTACTCATCTGAAGCGTCTCGTCGCGTTCTTTCGTTTGCCGCCTCGTGCGTTTCGCTGCGCCTATTGGTTCTCGAGTTATCGGCTGGGGGCGTTTAACCCTCGCCGGCACAGGCCATTTTGAGTCCTTCGACGGCACAAGGGGGGGGGGGGGTGGTACGGGGACCCGCAGTTGCTACTGTACACGAACCCCAAGTCTAGCCGTCTGTCCTGTCCAGTAACAACCGATAACATTGATATCGACTGCTGGTCCCTGTACAAGAGCAGCTGAGGTTTCCTGTGAGTACCCTCTGACAGCTTATCGTTGTTCCCTGTGAGGGTGCTGGGACAATTTACTCAGGGCCGCTGTACATACAGTAGCAACTGCGGGTCCCTGTACGACCCCCCCTCCCTCGCGTTTGGCCCCTGATCGAGCTAGAGCTTCGCGGAAAAAAACGAGCGTGTTGCCCGTCACGAGAGGAAGCCGATGATACCCAATTTTAGGGTCCTAGGTCATCGGGTGACCTTCCAGGTCAGGTCAATGACCCGAAAACCGGGAAAATCGGGACCTGTTGGAAAGTCGTAAAGTGTGGCTGCTATGTGGTTTTCCGGGGTGCTGATCACGAATATCGTGTTAGTTTTGATCAGAGATGATGTCTTTAAGCATTTAGACCAGGTCGGGTCAGGTCAGGTCAGGTCAACCGGTAGGGGTTGTGACGGGTATTCGTAATACGTGTCAACCGCCTCGGACAGCTTCGTAACATGTTACGAAGGCACCAAAACCACTTCGTATATGTTCAAATGGCTGCTAAATTCAAATTCAGCTCCAAAAAACTAGCCTGGAAACATGTAAAACTCGAAAAGTGAACCGAGGTCACCCGAGGTCACCAAAGGTCAATGACCTGACCTGACCTTCAGGTGAGCTTGACACCCACCCTAATGCATGGTAGCAACATCAAATCACATGTTTGAACGTTTGAAACCACGAAAAGCTTGTAAACGCGCGGCTAATGCGAGCCGACATGCGCCGAATAGCGATTTCGGCCAAACATGGTCACAGAAAAGAGGTCACAGGTCAAAGGTCATTGGGGTCAGGGTCATGAAATTTTCAGGGTAGGTGTAAAATTGATCAATGCGAGGGTACTGAAAGTTTCGTTGCGATCGGCCGCTTTTTACGCGAGTTATTCGCGAAAAACCTTAGGGGGGGGTTGCATCAACCCCCCCCCCCTGTGCCGGCGAGGGTTAACGCCCCCCCCCCCCCAGCAAACGGCGGGTGGCGACATACCCCAGCAACTGCCGGGTTTAAAACAAACTTTTCCTAATAAAAGTTGTTAAGTTTTCGTTTTATTCCTCAAAAACTGCAAATTTTCGTCGATTTCGGGCGCTGCGGGGGGGGGGGCATTTGCCCTAAATGCCCCCCCCCCATGGGTCCGCCAGTGGATACTAGAAACCAGTTTTGTGGTGTCGAACTTGATAAAATAAATGGACCTATCAAGCATGTCCATTCGTGTCTGGTTGATAGCTCTACTTTGGATTGTATTGTATTGTATTGTATTGAGCAATCATGAGCGATCCACATTCTCAAAGTGCGTGGCGATTACTGCTCATTTAGTTACTGCATGGAACATGACGTACTCAACCGATCATGTGATGTGTGTGCCATTATGGGGCGTCATATCAGA